AATAATAATAATAATAATCATATCTGCATATTGAATATACAGTATTTACAGTTAAGCCTTAATAATGCAACTGGTTATGTAGGTTGTATTGATTTACTGCTTGTGTGAAGATGGTCCTAAAAAGCCCTTCTGATGAAACAGGAATACAACATATCATGCACATACATCTGGTTATTTACACGTGTGGTATGTTCGCTGGATTCTGCACTTTTACACGATGCTAGCGGCTGCGTCACTGTGAGAATTTTGGTGCTTACTGAGATGCATTTGTTTTTATTAGAACTGTAAGTTGAGTAGCAGTAAAATTTTTGAATTGGTGACTATGGAAGCTTTGGAAATAGTACATATTGTTCATTTATGTGGATGCATATATAATGTATATCCTGCAGTTTGGGCAGAGAATAAGCAGCGGATGTAAGACCTCTACTAACATAAATACATCGACAGGGGATGCCCTCAAAAGCTTCATGCTGATTTTTGTCATAAAATAATAAAAGAATCGTTTATTAGGGAGGAACCCTTTACAACCTGTACTCTTTATGCCCCTTTAGAGCAGATGAGTTCTTCTCAAAGGTGCATTCACAGCTTCTTTTTTTTACTGAGCATCTTAATTCTGATGCTGTACTGGGAGTCTACAGTCCACCTACACACCAGCAAGGAGCAGGGATGAGTGAAATGTAAATGTAAAAAATCAAACAACATGTTCCTGACTGTGTCGCTTAGGGTGATGTTTTTATTTTAGTTCAGTTATTAGCCTACAGATATCGTCGAATAAATCTGTTAAAAGAAGCGTGTACTTAAATTTTCAAGATCAAGTCACGTTTTGTTTGTTAAATCTCTCTCATTGTTGTGTTCTCCTTTTGGAAATTAATATTATATAAAATATACTAAAACACCGAATTCAAAAAATAATGAAAGATGTCTTAGGTTTGATTTAAAACCATCATTTTGAAGGTAAATACGAGATTGGAAAACCTTTAACTTGCCTTAAATATCAGCAAACCTTCTGGTTATGCTACAAATTATGTTTCTGGGAAGTTCAAAGTTTGTCAGAGAGAAGGACTTCATTATTTATTACAGTGCAGTAGGTAATATGTGAAAAAATAGATTATTTAAAGCTTTGATTTGTCTGGCGTTTGTGTATTATTTGTTGGAAGAGGTCTTTGAGAACTGTAACTGATATAGAATTGTTTAATATTGAATAAGTTATAGGATTTGCCTCCAAGCATCTGCAAACAAACCACAGTTATTGTAAATAATCCTTGCTAAGCCGATGGACAGGCATTTGTACATTCACAGCTGTGACGAAGATGCATATAGACTGCGTGTGCGCTCGTTATACATGGGTTTTGCATTACTGTTGCGATATGAATCGTAGCGAGTAGTATAGATAGTTACTGTAAAAAGGTATGCTGAAAAAGGCTACTGGATAAACTGGAAATGAAAGCAAGAGGAACGTTTTCATTTTCCTTGGCGACACCGTGACGACTGCGATCGCAGCAGTTGTGCCTTTGAGAAAACATTTGGTTAAACATTTGGAATGACAGCTCGCGGAGAGCCGTGGAGATGGAAGACATACAGAATTGATTTTCTGTCACTCTCTGTACTCTTTGGCCGGAGAGGGAGGTGAGGTGTATCCGACATAAACCCTGGGAACCCTGCATCGGGAAGATGTTCCTGTTTGTGTTTTATGTTTTACCGACAGCTCTGATTTGCTACAGCACTGTACGCTGACATACTCTGACTTCACAGGTGTGTAATTTCTCTACGGTGAGAGCTGAACCGGCCCATGTGTGCGTCGGACGGCTAACTTCGGACACTCATGGACGGGCTCAGCTGGGGGGGACTTCCGGTGTGAAAGCAGGGAACCGTTTTAAGGGTCAGGGTGGGAGGAGGAGGAGTGAGGGGCAGGGTGGCAGGTGGTGAACAGTGACTGCACTGCTGTTCTGGTTTGTGTTACCAGTGTGTGTGCAGCTGTACAAAGCGGCCCTGAGTTGTCGCGTGACGGTGGGAGCAGGGAGCTCTCGCCGAGGGGGCAGCAGTGAGGCGGAGGCTCCTCTGTCTTTTGCAGCGCCGGTCAGATCTCCCTCTTCCGGCTACTTCTTCCCTGTTTTGGTTTCTGCTCTTCTTCCAGCTCACCAACCTCCTGCATTTTTTTTTTTTTTCTCTGGAGGTACTCTGCTCTCTCTCTCTTTTGTTTTTCTTTTTTTTGTTGCCCCAGGTGGAGAAGGTGGTGGCTGGCTTTGGAGAGATGAGGGCTGCTGCTGCCCCCTGGTGGCGCCCTGGTCCCTGTGCTCTATGACTTCCTGGTCTGACGCCAGCCGACAGCACAGGCTGCTCCTGCAGGGAAGCAGCAGGCACATTTCAATAGATTGTACCATTAGAAAAATCAGAAATACAGACGTAACAAAGTCATTTTTTTCTTACCTGTGTCTGCTGTAGTGCTCATTCTATCAACTCTTGAGTCTCAGAAAACTATTACGAACACAGGAGGCAGAAAAGATGGAGGTTAGCAGTGCAGCCAAAACGTCAACAAGTCAAGCGTCGGTTGTGTGTTTTGCTCACCTGTTGGCTGGAGTTAGCTGAAGGTGGGGTGATCACACTTTGGTCCAGTAAGGGGTTAACTGGGGCAGAACAGGGGAGATGAGTGGCACGCCAGTAAATCTCCAGGTACTCGGCGAGGTGGTCGCACGCATCTTCCAGCTGATTCTCATCCAGGATGACGTCAAACATCTCCTGAGGAGTCAAAGAGATGAGAAAATATAAGCTACTGTGTATTCAAATCCATTTCTAAGTATCCTGACTTCGAGCAGAGCGACCTACAGGAGGACACTGAGCCAGCTTGTCTCCTGCCATCATCTGGACGTTGAGGTGTTTGCTTTGCGACTTCCCTCGAGATTTAATGAGCCTCTGAAGAACCTGTGAGACGAGCCAGAAATTAAGATATTTAAGCAATTACTAAAGGTTTCTTATTAGATTTCAGTCAAGTAGTTTATTAATTAAAAAAAAAAAGTCTTCCTTACTGCTGGGAAATTTAAGCGACATATTTTGAGTAGCATTGGAATATTAAATACCAATTCATTTCATTATCGATAAAGCATCTATAAAATGTCAAAACAAACGTGAAAAATGCTCATCAAAAGGTCTGAGAGTCTTCTTTTGTCTGACAAAGAATCCAAAACCCAAGGACGTGCCATTTGCAGCAATATAAAATAGAGAAATGCTGTGTT